TTTTAACATTAAAAAACTATTTTATCTATTTCAGGATCCAGGTGACTGATTAGAATTAAGATCCAATTACTATAAAAGGTCACTTGTGGAATGAAGTTCTTTAAGACTAAAGTTTTATTGTGCAAGTTTGTGTACAATGCATTACACCCTCCCTCTGCATTCTGTATATACGTTTTATATCTTGTAGATCCTCAGTGCTATGCAAGCAGAGGTGCTTGCATTTGTTGGGGTTTTTTTTGGGGGGGAGGACTAAAAAGTAAAATGTGGAAATATTAAAAACAAGATGCAAAATGTAAGAAACATTTTAAATTTTTTAAGCTTAAATTTGTTTTATTTTTTACCATTTTAGGACAAAATAAACACTTGTGGCCTTGCATGCATATGAAATAGCACATTGGCATATTTTAACACTGCACAGAGGGGCTGTGGAATGGGCAAAAGAGACAGACCAGGGTTTGGGAGAGACACCTAGAGGGGATGGGAGGACACAAAGAGACACAGAGGGACTGGGGAAGGGGCAAAACAGACAGATAGAGGCTTTAACTAAACCTATTAGATTTTAGTCGCGTCAAAGATTTAGATTTAGTCAACAAATACTAGACTAAAATGTCAACATTTCATATGGCTAAAATACGACTAAAACTAAAATGGCCTTTTAGTCAAAAGACTGACTAAAACAAAATTAAAATTTGCTGCCAAAATTAACTGATTGTTGGGAATCAATAAAATAACTGCAAACTTTACACCAATATAACTGGAGAAATGTTTCCATTTTAGCTATTTTACCATAATATTTTCAAATTCCATGGTAATTCTCTGCATTTTCTGGTTTAACCCCAATTATAAGGGCTCTTCTGTCAACTCAGACAGAAATATATATAAACAATAAATATAAATAAGGAATTTTGTTTCCTGTTAAAGGGACACTGTAGGCACCCAGACCACTTCAGCTCCTTGTGGTCCGGATGCTAACTCCCATCAGCCTTAACTCTAGAGTGGTAATTATTGCAGTGTTTATGAACTGCAATAATCACATGCTAGGGTTAACTCCTCCTCTACTTCCAAGCTTGAAGGCGACTTTTGGTCACCTAAACAACGCTGGATATTCTCACGCTATGCATGAGGACTTTCAGCATCACTGAATAATGTTTTCCTATGGGGAAATCCTAATGCGAGCACAGCCTTTGCCTTAATTTAGCATTAGGTCTCCTGCTCCGGCTGACGCCCGTGAGGGAAGAACGTGGGCTGAGTTGAGCCAGCGCCGAGGGGCATCAGCGGTGGACCCTGGTAAGTGACAGAAGGGGTTATTAACAGGGGTGGGCCTTGACAAAGGGGGAAGCTATAGTGCCAGGAAAACCATAGTTTCCCTTTAAGTCAAAGCAACTTCACATAGGGCTCAAAACATACATTCACCACTGGTAAGTGAAAATTTAGCAAGGCTAGCAGAAATTCACCCCTGTATGCTATTGCTGCAGTGGCATGTAACTTTTAAGGCCTGACTAGTAGCATATCACTTACAATTTGAAAGGGACACTATAGGCACCTAAACCACTTCAGCCACTCTTTAAGTGGTCTGGGTACAGGGCCCCTGTCAGCTTAACCATGCAATTTTAGTTATTGCAGTTATTAATAAACTGCAATAATTACATTGCAGGGTTTACTCTACCTCTAGTGGCTGTCTACCAGACAGGCACTAAAGGAGCTTCCGGGTGGTTAGGAAACCTATGGTCGCCAAACTGACGCTGAACGTCCTCACTCTTTGCATGAGGACATCTAGCAATAGCTAAACCATCATAGGAAAGTATTGACCAATGCTTCCCAATGGGGTTGTCCTAATGTGATCGCGGCACTCGCCGTCCAAGCGCATTAAGTCTCTAACGTCGGCTGATGTCGGGAGAGGATGAGCGGAGGTGGAACCAGGCCCTGCGCCGAGGGACATTGGCACTGGAATTAGTTAAGTGACATAAGGATATTCAACCCTTTCTGTGCTGCATGGTGGTGGTGCAAGCGTGGGGCACTATATACGGTACTATTGCTAGGAATACAATTTTGTATTCATAGCCTATAGTTTCTTTTTAAGCCTCACACAATTAATTATTATTAAAGTGGTAACATTGCTGTTAAACTTTTCTAAGTATTGAAACAAATGTAGGGAGGGTTAAGGGGCAAAAACAGTCGTTGTGAACACATGGGAGCACTCAATCAGGGCCGGCGCGTCCATAAGGCGGCCCAGGCGGCCGCCTTAGGGCGCCCAAGCAGGGGGGGCGCAAAAATCTGAATCCCCAGCCACCGGCTAGGGATTCGGATTTTTATACAGCCGCCCGCAGCCTACCTCTCCTGCCTGGCTCTCTCCACAGACGGTCCGATCGGTCTGTGATGTGCCGCCCCCTCCTGATGATGTCAGGAGGGGCGCGACTTTCACCTCCCCCAGAGTCCCCTGCGGTCCGATGCTGGCTGGGACAGGCTCCCCCTGCTGGCTGGCTCCAATATGGCGGCGCCCATGTGAAGTGCAGCGAGAGGGAGTGAGACAGGGAGGAAAGGGAAGCAGACAGGCCCAGGTGGGCTCCAGTATGGCGGAGTGCAATATCTCACAGTGAGTAGGGGGCCAGACTTCCGCTGCCCGCCCTCTCCCCCTTCCTCCATCTTGTCCAAGTCCTGCAGAAGGGACAGCAGACTTACCTGGCTGGAAGGAGAACAGTGACCTCTTCTGCGTGCTAGACTGCTCCCCATAGTGTCTGCAGACTGCAGTCTCCTCAGATCCACCTCACTATAGACCTGGCTGTCAGCACTTGAATGGGGTAAGTTTTTAAAGAAAAATTATATTTAATTTTTGAATTATACTCTGTATCCCCTGTCAGGGCATTAAAGGACCAACTCTAGGCACCCAGACCACTTCAGCTTAATGAGGTGGTCTGGGTGCCAGGTGCAGCTAGGATTAACCCATTTTTTAATAAACATAGCAGTTTCAGAAAAACTGCTATGTTTATCAATGGGTTAAGCCTTCCCCCATTCCCTCTAGCGGCGGTCTCATTGACAGCCACTAGAGGCGCTTGCGTGCTTCTCACTGTGATTTTCACAGTGAGAGCACGCCAGCGTCCATAGGAAAGCATTATGAATGCTTTCCTATGGATGGCTGAATGCGCAGCAGCTCTTGCCGGCGTGCGTATTCAGATCAGCTCTGCACTTGGCAGCTCACTCCTTGCACTGAGGAGCTCACCTCATCTGCTCGTGAGGACGTCCAGCATCAGATAACAGACCAAAAGTCTGTTTCGATTCCACAAGCGCCCCAAGTGGCTTTCTGGTAGACAGCTACTGGGGCAGACTTAGTGCTGCAATGTAAACATTGCAGTTCTCTGGAACTGCAATGTTTTACATTGCAACACTACGTGCAAAGGGCAGTAATCCCATGCCTCTCTTAGCCTCTATGCCACTAATACCCTGTCACGCTAGTTACTCTGTCCCCAACCTGTGTCAGTCTTTCACCTTAATACCTTATCCCCCAATTCTTTTCCACTCTGTTCGCTGTATTCTCAGGGTGGGTAGGTTATTTAATGTTTATGTACTTTATACACAGCTAAGCTATTAATTCCACTGTGAAAATTGCAGTAAATGTGTGTGTGTGTGTAATTTATAAAAAAGAAAAAAAAGCTACTGCGTACAATTCCAAATCCTTATGTACATTTAAATAACTGGAGGTTTTTTAGTATGAGTATTTTAGCTCATCTGCCTGTTAAAATTATATTAAATGTACATAGTGATTTATTGTCTGTATTGGGGTTGTGTACTATGGTCATTAATACTGCCCAGGAAAAGTGAGAATTTGAGCGCATGGCTTAATTTAGTATATTTATGTCTGTAATTGTAGGTTGTTTTTTTTTTACATTTATTTTTGTAAATGTTTAAGGATTTTGCATTGTAATCACAACACAAAACATGTCGGGAAATAGTATTTGTACTAGTGCAGGGCTCGACAAATGCTAGGACTAGACTAGGAATTTTTTCCTGACGCCTGGGTGTTTGTTAACCCATTCACCAGATGCGGCTGGCCGAGGGAGCATGGAGCAGTAATCTTCCTGCAGTTCTTGCTCTGTTTCTTCCCATGCTGGTTAGTGATGCATGCATCTGGAATGTGACGTCACTCTGGCCCCAGCATCACTAAACAGCAGGCAATGGAGCAGAGAAAGAAGGCAGGGAGAATAGAGAGTAGCCACACCGCATCCTAGTGAAAGAATCCACTCCAGCTCTCCCAAAGGTAGGGAGGCTGGGTGTGCTTAAAATAAATAAATAATTTGTGAGTGTATGACAAAATATGTGTGTCTTTAGGTTACCACCTCCGCCTCCCTCCCCCCCCCTCATTTCTTGTAAGAAAGCATTGGAAGTTTATTGTAAATGCGCTGCAAAACGTTGCACTGCGACAATATACTCGTAAAGATGCACACTGTGCAGCACTGAACTAGGAATCACCTCTACTGGCTATCTGAGTGACTGTCACTAGAGGTGTTAATAGGCAGCAATGTAAACACTGCTTTTTCTCTGAAAAGGCAGTGTTTACATTTAAAGGCCTGCATGGGCAGGCTTTAGACACCTGAATATTAAGCTGTAGTGGTTCTGGTGACTATAGTGTCCCTTTAAAAATAGTTGTTTTTTTTGGGAAAACCTTGCTCCCAACTTTTTTAGCTGGCCCCTAGATCGCAAACAAATTTGTCAAGCCCTGCAACAAGCAGGTTTGAACTTTGAGGGATTATTGAGTTGGTGGAGAAGCAAAGCAGATACTCTGAGAGGAACACAATGAAAGGAAGGAACGGTTTGGACAAGGCTGGCCTGTTCTAGCTGCTGAAGAGAAGGAAAGAACCTGCATCAAGGAACATGACCAGAGCGAGAAAGGCAGGTTGAGCTATGGATGAAATTTCACTTTTCCTTATAATGTTATAATTCCTAATTGTGTGTGTGAAATTAAACATCATTCTTATTCTTTATATAGCTGAAAAAGTATATTCAAAATGCCGAAACTATTTAAGGAAAAGAAATCATCAGGGGCAGTGTTCAGACAAAGACGAGCAGAAAAAGAGAAAGCTGGGAAGCGGATGTCTGAAGCTTTAAAGGAGTACTTGACTTCTCACAAAAGGAGAAAGCAAGATACAACTACTGCATCAGAACCAGTTTCCAATGTTGCAAGCGAACCCGTGCAAATCGATGTCGATGAATCTTCAACATCATCATTCAAAAAGCCCATCTCAGTCCAAGAGGTTGTTAATGTAGATGATGCAAATACTGGAAAAATACCAGAACAACAAGATGATGAGCAACCTTCCACATCATCACACTCTGTCTACCTTGAGAAGACTATTGACCCAGAAGAATCAAATGACGAAGAAGAAGAAAGAGAGGAACTGCAGCAGGAGGAACAATCTACTTCTTTGGCAATACTGGATTTGTCGGATCCAGCTAATTGGCCAGCTGTTCTCACCACCTCACTAAGGGATTCTCTTGTCAGGAAAGGGCCTGCAAAGCAAAAAACTAACTTCATTTTCCCCAAAGATGCAGCGAATAGACGTTTCACTAAAGCAAATTACAAGCGACGGCTGCCAAACGGAGAAGAAACCGTTAGAAATTGGCTTGTTTATTCTGTCAAATTGAACAAAGTATTTTGTTTTTGTTGTAAGCTATTTGCAACTAAAGTCACTACAAGTTTGACACGTGGAGGTTATAATGACTGGAAAAACTTATCTCAAAATCTTTCCATTCATGAAAAGTCTAACTCTCATCTTGTCGCTATAAGAGACTGGAATGAACTCTCGAGAAGATTTGGTTGTGGGAAAACGATAGATGCAGCTTCCCAGAGATTGTTGGCAAATGAAACACAACATTGGCAAGATGTTGTTAAGCGCCTTATAGGCATAGTAAAATATCTTGGTCGCCAGTGCTTGGCTTTCCGAGGTAGCAGAGATACATTATACAGTGACAATAATGGGAATTATCTGCAACTTGTGGAAATGCTGGCCACATTCGACACCGTTATGCAGGAACATCTGAAAAAAAATAAGGACAGATGTGCATGACATGTGGGATGCTGCGTGTGGACAGTCGAATGTCTTGAAAAGCACATTGGCAGACTTTAACTTAAACCAGATGGTCTTCAATGGAATAGAGAATAGATGCTATTTATTTAGGTTCCAGGTTGGAGGATTTTTGATGAACTCTGAAATTTCAAGAAGGGCACACGGCAATGGCACTTTCTGATGCTGAATTCTTTTTTGTGAAAATTTAAATTTTTGTGTCAAATTGTGTTGTGGTACAACACTTAAATAGTAACTTTGTTAGCAAACTTCTCCAAAGTAGAAGTATGTATCTCCCAGATGTTATAGATATTCTGGAATCCACAAAAAACAATCAATCTGATAAACTTTTATTTACTGGAAATAGAAGATGTTTCATTAGAAATGGAAATAGATCCTGTGTTTCCTCCTTTTGTGCGACAAACTAAAAAAAAAAGTTTGTTTTGTTTGAAGATTTGATCCTTGTGATCCTAAAAAAAAAAAAATATTTTTTAAGTTTGGATGTTATGGGAATTCTCTTGATGAGATACTTCATTAAGCACCACAGATGCACTTCCCATTCTTTTAATATACAAAAACTAAAAGATGCTGTTTTGAACAGTTATGGATCACTGTAGGTTGCAGAATTTTTTGAACTAAAAGGGAGATTTGCCTATGGAGCACAACTTGTGAGGAACTACAATAGGCTTTATCTTGAGGATAATGTTTTCCATCAGAAATAGCATATGAGCTTAAAATTGCTTTGCTTAGAATTGTCTATCCCTCCGGCTATTGTTGTGAGGGATACTGCTGATTGAGAGCGAAGCTTTTCAAAGCTGAAGTAATAAAGAATCTTCGAAGGGGTTATTCTCAAGGAGGCCTTGAGGAAGGGGGATGCATAGTGCCAAAAAAATAAAAGAGATTGTCAAAAAACTTCACATATGGCTGTAACTACAAAGCCACTGGGAGGTTTTTTAGCAAGCTGCTCAATTGTTTGTGTATCTATTGTTAAAGCACTTTACACTTTTAGGCTGCAGTGCATTCACTTAAATTTGAAAGACATATATAAACCTTTTTATTCATTTATTTTAAGTGTTTTGGGTACTTGATACTGTCAGCTTACCATCAATTTGAGTTGCAGTTATTGCATAAAGCAATTTACATTGTTTTTGTTGAATAAATGTTAGTAAAATACACTTTACAAAACCACAAATTTGTTCTTATTTTTCTCTCTAAAAAAAAAAAAAATGTATATGGGGGGGGGAGGCAAAATGCTCCTTCGCCTGTGTAGACAAAATTCCTTGCACCGGCCCTGCACTCAATAGACAATTCATCTCTATTTCCATTACAACTCTGTGAGAATATGCAAATGACAGAAATACAATATTAGCTTTCCAATGTCCATGTCATCTTTCAAAACATATAAAAGACCTTACTTCAAACAGCTTATATAAATTCTGTCTTCCTGAACCCTTTATGGAGACCTGGGTGTTCGAATTGGATGAGCAGTGTATCTGTTGCTTACGGGGACTAGTGTAATTTCTTTCAAATATCTTCTTCTGCTTGTGGGGGGAGAAGGGTCAGTGAGAGGTGCTGTTGTGTTTCTCTTTTCCTCATGGTCACATCTACCTGATTCCCTTGGTGTACCGGCGGTGAGCTTGTAAAATATTGACATAACCTGGTATATTCTTGCACATGGATTTTGAGGTTCAAGAATGGAGAGTGGGATGCTGAAAAGTGATCTGGTGCAGGTGCTGAGTGATACTTGTTGTAGATGTGAAGGGTATGCTTTCTCCCTTATTGGGCATCTCATAGGGCAGGGTAACAGGGTACGGGGATAACTAGGGGTAGCATGTCTGTCTTCCACTCTATGTATCTCATCCACCAAAGTGCCTCGTTGCCTTACAGTGTTGATGGGACCGGGTGTTGCTGACTTTTTTTGATTGTTTCAGTGCAGGATTAATTTTTTTCCCTTTATATATTAATATGTTGTTATAGTCTTGTCTCATTATGCATAAGGAGGGTTAGGTAATTCCTCGGTTGTTTGTATAGGCAGTCCATAGCCCTTTCATGGAAATGCTTCCTTTTCCTATTTTGTTTGATTCCACAGTATCACCTCATAGTCCAGAGTAGTGGAGATCAACGTAGTAAGCTCCGTGATTGAGGGTATTTGCGGGATTTTCCACTTTTTTGCCAATAATATGGAAGCTGATGTGAGCGTGAGGAATACTAGCTTGACTACATTTGGGTATGGAATTTGGTAACAGTTTGAGTAGGATGGTTTCAATGTTATGTTCTAAAATACACCCCATTGCCCCTCCCCCCCACCCCCCGAATTAGATTGGAGACTTGTCTCCAGCATGGCTGTACTAACTTGCATGACCACCACATATGGATCATTGATCCCTTGTGTGTAAGGCACCTCCAACATCTGCCTGGAGGAGCAGAGTGTGTCTCTGTGGCAGTCCCAGATATTCACCAAAAGTCTGGTGGTGGGTAAAGTTCTCAAGGACAGAATCCTCAGTTTTCTTTGGGGTCCACAGTGTAGCTGTCAGGTCTTTAGTCTCACAACAATGTGTTTCTATCTCTATCCATTGGGGAGTATATGTAGTGGAGTGTATGGTAAGGATGTTTGCAAGGTGTGTTGCTTGGTAGTAAACCTTCAGATTTGGAAATCCAAGGCCTCCTTTTTTGGCTGGTTTCATAAGTAGAGTACGTTGGACTTTAGGGTGACAATGTATAACTCTTTTAAGTTCAGCACTCACTGCCTCCTACTCTGCTGATGATCAAACATCTCCATCTTGTCTCAATGGTTGTGTGTCGATTAGTATATATTGGAACCTGCCTAATATTATTATTATTAGTCATAGTAGTAGTAGTAGTATTTATAAAGCACCAACAAGTTCCGTAGCGCTGTACAATGGGAGGACTAATAGACACGTATTTGTAACCAGACAAGTTGGACGCACATGAACAGAGGGATTGAGGGCCCTGCTCCAGGGACAAGACTCCGCCTGCCTGGTCCAAGGTAAGACTCAGGAAGGGGGGAATACACTTTTTTTATTAACTCCCTCTACAGCCCCTAATCCCCCCATCTACGACCCCTAAACCCCCCTCTACAGCCTCTACCCCCACCACTCTACAGCCCCCCTCTACAGGCCCTGTCACCCCTCTCAGCCCCTGCTCCCCCTTCTATAGCTCCTGTGCCCCCTCAGCCCCTGTGCCCCCACCACAGCACCTGCCCCCCTTTAAAGCCTCTGTGCCTGCCTATACAGCCCCTGTTCCCCCTCTACAGACCATGTCCCCCCTTTCTACAGCCCCTGCCCCCTGCTATAGCCCCTCTGCCCCCGCCACAGTCACTGCCTCCTTTCTATACCCCTGTGCCCCATTTCTATAGCCTCTGTGTCCCTCTCTATACTCCATGATGACCAGGGATAAGGTGATCTCAGCCACCTCTCAGCCCCTGTGCCCCATAGAGCCCATGTATCTCCCTCTACAGCCCTTGCCCCCCCCTTTCTACAGCCCCTGCCCCTCCTTTCTATCCCCCCTGTGTCTCACATCTATAGCCCCTGTGTCCATCTCTATGGCCCCACCACTGCCGCTGTGCCCTCTTTTACAGCCCTCATGTCCCTATGTGCCACCCTCTACAGCTCCTGTATCCCCATCTCAGCCCCTATGGCACCTGTCCCCTTTTACAGCTCCTGGCCTCAAGTACAGCCACTGTGCCCCCTTCTACAGCCACTCTGTCCTCCTGTGTCCCCCCTCTACAGCCCCTCTGCCCCCCCCTCTACAGCCCCTGTGTCCCCCCTCTAAGCTCCTGCCTCCCCTTCTACAGAGCCTGTTTCACTCTCAACTGCACCTGTAACCAACCACTACAACCCCTATACCCCCACTTCAACCCCTGCCTCCCTCTACATCTCGTGTGTGTCCCTCTCTACAGCCCATGTGTCCCCCACCTCTACATCTCTTGCCCCCCTTGTCACTTCCTCTTTCTGGCTGGGAAATGTACAAATAACAGGAAACCGTAGAATAAACTGGAAGTAGATCTTAGCATAGAAGATGAGGTGAGTTCAAGTCTGAGAGAAACAGGAACTAGGCTTGGCATCTTGAGGGAGCTTTAAACTGTAACTCAAGTCAAAATGGAGGATTAATCTAAGAATTGGACTTCTAAAGGCATGCAACCGAGACATTATTAAAAGTAATACTCCAATTATGATTATAATCAAAATATATACATTTATTTATTTATGTACACATCAAATATAACCGAACAATAATGATATCTGTCATTAATAAATTAGCTTATACTCACTCATCTGTTCAGGAGTCTTACCTAATAAGGTAAAAAGGGTCAGGGTTACAAAAAGGGTGGGAAAATATTCACCTCCTGTCATTAATAAAATTAAGATAATACATACACTAAAGCTAGCATAATTTTATAACATGACAGGAGGCTTCATATTTTGCTGTTTTAATGCTCAGCAAGTAATGCTAAGGAAGCATGCACAGCTGGACAAAAATAGAAATTGCGGAACGTCTTTCCGGGACCAATCTGCCAATTGGAGGATTTCCTTTAGCGAAGATCCAGCCATGAATGCCCCTGAGGCTGCCGCCCCTCTGACGGAGTGAGCTCCAAAGGAGGCTTCGACCCCTGCCAATGATAGTAACCATCTGATCCAACGTGCTAGGGCGGTGGTCGAAACACGATTATGTGGGCAGACATATGAGATTAAAGGCTGACCGGAGGAAGATGAATGGAGGGATGAGGTGAAAGTGCCGAAACCACACATAGTTTAGGTTGATTAGGGAAATATGGGTAGAACACCATGGAGGTGTCCGATTTAGTACATCTTGATATGGAAAATGTAACTCCCTCAGGAGAGAAGGTGAAAGCGTCACGGTCATATGCTTGAACGTCGGAAACTCTGCGACTGATATCAGATAGAGAAGTAAAGTGAACTTCGACGAGAATTGACGAAGAGAGAGGTCCACGTTATTAAGCCAATCCTGTAGAACGTGGATTA